TGGCAAGTAATAACCCTAACCCAAATGAGTAACAGGAGTGTTAGATTTTCAAAATCTAAGCTTTATAAAATACAGACATGATGACTAAAGATAACCTGAGGATGTACCTAAGGATTCCAAGCCCCATTTCTATATTCTGCTGCAGACAGTGCAAGTATGTGACATTTTTATGACATACACAAAACCATTGAATGATGATCCAGAAGATACCATTAAAAATTGCTTCATCACTGTTTTTTGGCTTTTTATTTTTGGCAGTTGAGGGTAATTCTGAGAGCAACCCACTCTGAGATTTGCTAAGAAGAAATTAGAGTCTTCTTTGTAATCTTATGGAAACTTTTTTGCCAGTGACACAACCTCTATTTTTGTGCTTAGGCATTCAGGGAAGGTCTCTGTAGTTGAACTAATCTTTTCTGGTGTGCACATTTCTGGCTAAATCCAAGTAAGTACAGACACCTACTAACATTAGAATTGGAGCTGTGATTTGAAATGTGTCCTTATGCTGAGGCTTCAAAGTTAGTTTAGTCAGAGAAAGAAAGTGTGTGAGATGTTCATGATACTTAAATAGCTTGTAGGACGCCTTTGCCCTGAAAGCACTTTTCATGAATTTGTTTTCAGTAAGTTGGATACAGCCACCCACTGTAGGTCTGAAAGGGGTCCGTTGGTTTTTTTACGCTTTGTGCTGTTTTGAATAGGTGAAGGTGCTGTCTCTCTAAGAGTAAATCTTGCCAACATTTGTACTTCGTAAATTTTAAGGGCACAAAAAAACATATTGTGCTTACATGAACTGACCAGAGACAGAGCGTTTCCTTTAGTTAATTGTTATTTTGAGTCCAATTTCTGTGGCTGAATTTCAACGTCTTTTAGGAAAAGCAAACAAACGGTATACTTAGAACAAAGTTTTTCAGGGAAATACTCTGCCAGAGTTGACAGACTCTTTCAATTGATACTTACCCTTAGAGATAATAACTACATTATTTCTAATCTAAATATGCCTTATCTCCCCTTTTAGTCATTGTGTTCTCTCACACATAGGCATGTCTGCTAGAATGAGGGGCAGGTAAATAAGGAGAGGGAGAGGACTGACTGATCACTCTGGCTGGGACTCTAGCGAGGTGCTCTGCCCAGAGTAGAGAGGAGGCAAGAGGGAGCCCTGGGCATTTGTGCTGCTGCTGCTGACACCACGTGCCCTGGTGTTTTCTCTGCACTTCCCATGCCTGCAGGCCCCAGTCTCCATGCCACCTACAAGGTTACCGAAGAAGTAGGAGGTGCTCCCCACCAAGCCACCAGCGGTCGGGCAGTGCATGGCAGAGGCCATCCGCGGGAAGGCCTAGGGGAGAGTGGGCATGAGCCTTGTAAGGGCCTCCCTCTGCATTCCTGAGTCATCAGCAATCACTACCAGCAGCCATGACCTTATATTTTCTTCTTGGTCATTTAAACACATTCTGTTAGCAGGGACTTTCTGTTTACAGTTAGACGTAGAGACATACCAGTTCTCTAGCTTTTTATTTATTTCATGTGTAGCATTATAGTTTCATAACCTCCACACCATGTGGAATTAAGTCAAATGTCATACAGAAGTCTAAGGTTTATTACAGCAACACTAGTACATCTATTTACCAAACCAGTAATTTCCTCAGAAAATAGCTAGTGAGTTTGACAAGACGTGTTTTCCTAAACGCATGCTCATTAGCATCAATTACCTTCTTTTAATACTTCATTAACTGAATGAGATCTTCACTATTTTGGCACGCTTTCTACGAGGATGATAGGCCACGATTGCTCAGCTCACCCTGTTTATCTTTTTTAAAATACCACACTTTCCTAGCACTTTCCACCCAATGGTTTGTGTACTGCATGAGGTGGATGGTTGCTGCCCACAAGTGATGATCAGGGTCACATGGGATGGAGTTTGTACCCATCTGAAATCAAGGACTGATTGATACTGATATGTCTATAAAGTCAGTTTCAACACGCAGGATGACATTTCAGGGCTTAACAGTGAAAGTACAATTTCCTCAAGTCTCTTTGCACTGTGAAAGTCACTTTCTCCCTTTAGCTGATTTTGAGCAATGAAGATCAGATAGGAATGAGTCAAATCAAGAGGTGGCCACGCTTTGAGCAGCACCTTCACACTTTGAAGTTGTTTGCATGAGACTTGCACTAGGTGCCCGTGGAGCAAACATGGTGGCCAGGCTGGCAACTTTCAGCTCTCGGTAGCCCCAAGGTGATGTTGAAGGGATTCCCTATGCCCAGTGACGCTCTCCCCTCTCTTCTCATAACATGTACCTCTGGGATTTTATGATAGATTTGAAAGAGGTGGTATGCAGAAGGAGGCAACTATGCCTCGCTCCAGGCTCCGTGCCATCCAAGAGGGCCAGGCCTCTCCATGCCTTGGCTTCCCATCAGCACAAGCAATTAAAGGCAGTCCCTCAGAAAGTCATTGTGAGGAGAAATGTGCTAAAGACATAGAAACATCACAGTAATGAAGGCCAGGTGAATGTATGACTGAGAAAGGCAGACAATAGCATCACAACCAGAAACTTGGTGGAAAGAGAGTGGGCATTTCTAAGGAAAACAAGATTACTTAGCACTGTAATAAAGAATTAGAAATAGAAAATAATTTTTAAAATTATAGAAACCCACTAGCCACTAAGAAACACTCTTTGATAATATTCAGCGTGATTTCTTGTGCTTCTTTCTAAGGGCCTATCTGGTTCAGTGGGGAAAGTAACCAAATCAGGTAAATTAGTGGGCTCCTGAACAGCAGCAGTTCTCATTCTAGTGTCATTAATAACTACATATAGGCTCACTGTTAGTGGTAATATTCAGTATTTTATCCCAGATTTTCTGGGCTTTTTTTTCCATATAAAAATACTATGATAAAGTGTCGAGAAGTCTGTGCTACACAGGCATGTGATAAGCCTTGCTTTATACCCTTTTTCTGACGTTAGTCATCCTCATTTGTTGTGCCAAGGAGCAAACCATCATCTCAGTTTGGTCTAGGACTAGTTTGGTTAACCTGCCTTGCAAGAAGAGCAGGGACTCGATAAGAATGTCCTCACCAGCCTCATTTTGTAAGATCTCATCTAATTTTGCGTGGCATCTGCTGATACATGTGATTCCTTTGATCTCATTGGAACTATCGCTGTTTGTCAGGGCGACACCAGGAATATAGAGTTAGCCAAGACACTGTATGCTTCTTCATGCAGACATTTTGTCAACTTTGAAATGCCCTCTGTTCTGGAATGTTATGAAGTAACAATATTGAAATCATTTAGAAAATATTTTTAAAATTACCTCGTATCACAACACAATAAATAGTTACACCACCTAATAAAAACTGACTCTGCAACTAACAAAGTAATAAAGTAGAAATTCAGTTGCTGGGATGGACTGGGAGTGGACTCATTGTCAGAACAAGAGCCAGGAACCATTAGCTCTTCAAGACACTTAATTTTTCAGCTTCATTTTTCTCTCTCATGGAGCAAAAAAAATAAAACAAAAAACACCCCCACCCACATCCCTCATAGTCAATATATGCATGATGAATAGCAGGTAAAATCTGCAAGGCAAGTGATATAGTGATAGCATGTATTGAAGGCTGATGTGTATGAGAAAGGCAGCACTTTCTCTGTGGTACCAAAACATGACCTACCTAGTAAATTATCAAGCTGTTGTCTTTATTATTTTGATTGCTTCTTTGATGTACCTGTAGTTCTTCACCTAGTCTTTTGGTAAGGTACTCTTGCAGATTTCCTGGGGTGAACACCACCCATTCTTCTATGGATCATGTCACTGGAAAAAAACTTATCTCAGTAATTTTGAACTTCAAAGTTTTACCCAATAGACTATGTGTCTTCCTCATCCTAAATATCAAACATAGGAAGCAGGGGGGGAGTCAGCTCACAATAAATGATACAGAGGTGATGGCATATTTTAACTTGTTCAATTGTTTGTGATGTGTGTAATAAGAAGGATATACCAGATCAAATAATTACTCTCAAAAAGTGTCTTTTGCTATATTTAATTCCCTCCCCTCAACTGAACTCAGATGAAGTCAGAGATGTAGACATATCCATTGACTGATTCGTTATTAGACTCCATTTATGGAGACACAAAGGTTATGTGGCTGTGACACTAAATTAAATGCTCTCTTCTCCCTCTGTTATACACTGGTACTGCTCATGGCATTGGCTGATGCCCACTGTCCTTCAGTAAATAAATGTCCCCTCAAAGCATGGGAGAAGGAATATGCCCCTGAAGGAAAAGATATGAACTAAATGGGCCCAGTATTACTTCTGATGCAACATACTACTTGCTTTGACTGGTACTTATAGACACAATTCTAGCCCCCTATTAAATAAGAAAAATGAATAATTGCCTATATTTTCAAGAGCAACACATCTCTCCACTGTTGGACATACAATTCAAAGATAGTATAATGGGAAAGAAGCTTGTCAACTGCAGTTCTCTAAAAGTGATTAATACCTATAATAAAATTTCTACTCTTTTAAAATGAATTCCCCTTCCTCGATCCAAAGTTAAAGTGATTGCAGCCGAACCAATGCCTACCAGACCTGATTGGTAGGTACTGCTGCTTCTTCCCAATAAACCTCCCCTAATGTGAGTTGAAAGCCTACACTTATCTCTGTGACTTCTCTCTCTAAAACTCAAGCTGATGCAGCAGAAGATGGCAAGCAGGGAGGAAAGGAGCAATTCCCTGTAGGTATCAGAGCTGAGCTTTTCTCCCTCACTCTAAGCACCAGGCTGTGGATGGCAATGCTGCAGAAAACATGTCATCTGAGGACTATCATAGGCATCTAGTAGCAGAGGGGACCTGTTTATCTGGGGGGAAAAAAGCTCCTAAATGTGAAACAACCTCTTTGCATGTATCTGTGGCCCTGGGATAGTGCTATTGCATGCGTGACTGAAACATATCTGATTATAAACTGCTTATTTGGGAGAACTCATGTATGTTTTCCACACTCTTTTTACAGCTCCCAAGTCTACCTTTTGCCCCACTGAGGAGACCTGGTGGCCAGGCCTGGTTATTATCATTGCAGTATGCTGTGCCACACTAGTGTTCCTCTTTGTAGTTGTCATCATTTGCTACAAAGCCATAAAAAGGTAAGACTACAGGTGCTTTTACAGTGCTTAGGGCAATACAACCCTTCAAAGGCTGACCTGAGACTTGACTGACATCTTGTTTTTCTTTAAAGGCATCCTGAAGGCAAAATGCAGACTATAAGCATCCTATAGTCAATGAGTGTTTTCACTGGAAAGTCAGTTAAGGTACCTTTTCCTGCCTGTGTAAAGGATGAGGTTCAATGCACAGCCATGGGCCAGAGGATGAGAAAAACTAGAAATGGGACAGAGCCACAATGTTGAGATTAATATGAATATCCCCAAAGTTAAAGTGCTGCAGGGGTGCTGGGGCATGTTGATAGGCTTTGGCTTGGCCTGGTATAGAGATAGGAAACCCTTTCCTCCCCAGTTACAGCCCTGCGTCCCGGTATGACAGTATTCGGAATTCACACTTAATGGATGTGAGATTTTTGACCCAGGCCCATCACTAATTGCAGCTTTTCAAAAAGATGCAATCCAAACTCTAGTGTAAATTGTGTAATTTTTCATTTAGAGGCTCTAATTCTAGTTTATTCTCTGTTCAGAATGGTCGTCTACAGAATCAAATTCAAAACCTATTTCTTTTAATTTAAAAGCTATATGAAGGCCACGTACAACACAGTGAGAAGTAACCATTTCAGCTCATCTACCACTGTCCTTGCAATATATGTGCTCCTCTGCCACTGTCTTTGTGATATATGTGCTTGTATAAGCCTCCGGTAGTTAGAAAGCACTGATTTCAGTTACTTAGAAAAATGCGAGGGGGAATCGTTGCTTTGTCTAAATAATATTGCAATTCTTCTCTGGAAAAAAGTCAAAACTTGGAAATTTCTGTATGAAGGCTTAAACCGTGAGTCCAGAGGGTTGATGTGGAAAAGAAAATATCATGTGAGAGTTGTAGTCAGGATGGATGGAGTTTCCTTTTCTCCCCTAGTGGCTTGAGTATGGCTCCAAGGATACCCAACAATCATGATTTTATGGAGTTGCTGTGGTGTACCATCAGAGTAATGGGCACGAGCTGTAGAACAGCTGGGTTTCCCAGCCCAAAGTAGAGCAATATTCAATTCACAACTCTCAAGAGATACTGCAGTGATCTCTGAATCACAATTTTAATTAATTTATGTTTTTTCAGCTTTGAGATGTTTGTAGAGGGGAGGGGGGAGAAAACAGAAAGTACTTTGCACAAAAGAAATATTTCTGTAAAAAGCAAGTGGACAATTTTTGATTAGCTCTAGCAGGGATATCACAATAGTGGACCATTGCACGTGCTTTGTGGTTATCTGAAAACTTACTCAGGATGTGGAGAATAATATATCCAAGAGCATTAAACAGGGAGAATTCAAACAAGAAGACAGAACTCTGTAACTAATTTCTTACTAAATTTACGTAAGTATCTTTTCTGCTTCTGGTTTAGCTAAAAGGAATGCTTACTAATTTTGAAGAATTATAAAGCTTTCATTCTACCTACTGAACTTTCAGAAAGAATCATCTATGGATGACTGAAAGTTCATTTGGATTACTGATTTAATGCAAAATTTCTTACCTGTGGTTCCTAATCTGACATCAGCTGTTCGCAGGAGGTTGGTCCAATTCCATGCGGAAAGCTATATCTGTTTCAAAAACAGCTACTGCATTTGTCTGCCTGGTGCCAAACTGTGAATGATTTCTGCCAAGGCTGCAATATAGGCTGATGAGAGCAGTAATTCTCCAGGGCAGCTTGTGCCTGGCAAAGAATATTTCCTCAGATCTGCTATCTGATGCTACTAGATAGGAAGTACAGAAAAGAAATTTAAACAGACAAATTTAGAGCTGCCTTGAGAAGACTGTGGGAGTTCACATAACAAAGGCTCTTGTATTTCATGTCAGTGAAGAATAATACAGATACTTGATGAAGATACCCATTATTTGTCAACAATGTGAATATCAACATACAAGTCAGCAGCTGAACTGGCATTAAGCTTAGAGAAGTGAAAATTCCTCTTAGCTCTTATTGTTGACATTCAGACTGCTGACAAATGCTAAGCTGAAAACTGCTCAGAAGTAGGATGGATAGATATAAAAGAAAAATCTTATTAATTATATTTTTGCAGAGCAACTAGAGCATTTCTTTTCATCAATGAGTCCTTTCTAAAATGGCTTCGTTAAATGGATGCCCTAAAGTGCTTTGGCAGCATTCCTCAGTAGTTCAAGTTCCTTGATCCATTGTAAAGAATATCTATTGATAAACCCTGGGAAATAAGATAAGATACTTCACAAGAGAAAAATCTCTGCCTTCGACACAGAGTATTATCATGCACTGTTGAGCTGAATAGGTTTTGGATGGTCTGAGAAATCCTTCACTATATTTTGCTGAGAGGTAGGCCTTTCTACAGGAAGAGAGAGGGAATTAATCTAGGTGATAGTGAAGCCAAGTTTCGTTCCAGCGTGTTTCCTTCCTGTGGCTATCTCCCAGGCTGGGGAATTGCCTTGGCCTTTCTCACACCGGTGTCTACCCACTCTCCTCTCCAGTCCTTCTTCCAGACTCTGGTTCTCTGTTCATCTCCTGGAAGTGGGAGCTCTTTCATTGCAGCATCTCCAACAAATCTGGCTCCCAGCTCAGGGTCAGCAAGCTATCTACTTCCTTATAACATACCCATCCTCTCAGAGGCCTCCAGCTGAGCCATTGCAGACACCACCTGCTTGTCCTCTACCCCACGTCTAGCTCAGGTTGCAGCCTCGGTATGGCACAACCCTCTTCTCTCTGAGGAAAGGCAGGCACTGCTTGCCTCAAAGTAGAAACCAGAATCAGCCTAAAGATCCAGTCCTTGCCCAGATCCTGACTCTTTCTTTAGCTCTGGGTGAGGGACAGGAGGAAAACAATGCCATTCTCTCTCACAGCTTAACTGCACCAGTTGTGGGGAGGATGAGCAGACTCTTGGGCACCTAAAGGCATGACTCCATGCAGGGAGCAGTCACGACCCTGCCGAGTCGTGACATGCATGCAGGGAGCAGTCGCGACCCTGCCGAGTGCAGAGCACACCTAGTGCAGAGGCAGTCACACCTATGCTCTCATCTCCATCCCTTCTGTTTTATGCCATTTCAAGCATGTCTGAAGGTTTCTAGGGGTGGCACAGCCTCTATTCACTGTGTAGCTTGTCACTGTACGTGGAGATTGGGGGACCAGCAGAGCAGCATAGTATACTGAGGAAAGGACTGTTCAAAATGATCAGCATACACTGACCCCTAGAGCCCCCTCCCCCCCAACCTCAGTTTCCTCTTCTTTGAAACAGACATAAAACCGTTTGCCTACATCTCAGGGATATCACTGAGATTCATCACCTACTGTATTGAGCAATATAAATATGAAAGTGGCAAGAATTATTATCCAAACATATGTCCTTTAAAACCTTGCATGAGAGGGTCATCTTCTATACTTTTTAGACAGGTTTTTTTTTTTTTACTGTTTCTTAGGGGAGCAGGGGAAGGAGACCCATGTCATCACATTTGGAAACCCTCATTCTGATGGGAGCTCATGGGTGCAACAAAACCTTGTAGTGCCAGTAAGTGTAAAAACTGGCTTGCCAGTAGCAGATGACTAATATCTTGTTTGGTGCAACAGGAACAACATTTAAAAATTCTCACCAGCCCATCAGCTAAAAAAGGATAGATCAAAATAAAATGTTAAGAGCATACTGAACATCAGTTCCTTATAAGGTACATCTATGGGTAAAACTGATACTACAATCCCATCTGAATTAAACTATAGTACAGGTGTATATGGTATATATCTCTCAGTGACAAATCCACAGGTATTACAGGACACTATTGCAAAGAACCTTACTGCAATAACTACTGATTTCACAGCTTGTTAGTCTTCCAAATGAACTTGGTTTTATAGCCTGAACATCAATGATATCTATATCCTGTTTGCTTAAAGCATTTGGCTTGCCTTTGTTAGCAGTATAGTCACTAAAGGCATACTGAAGAGTGAAATAACAGCAGTTATCTGGTTCTAGAGTGTAGAAAGAGTTAAGAGTTTTAGCAGGAAAGTGCAGGCAGAGATTTATTTGCACAGAGCTTGGATCTGTTGTATTAATCCCTCACTTTTATAAGAATCAAATTTAAAGTAGAAGTAAAAAGAAGAAAAATCCTATTGTGCTTAAGTTAAAATCTCATTTACTGGTTTCAAAGGGCCAGACCTGAACAAACTCTCTCATGTCTGCTTTTTCATAGCCGGAAGAGAGGGAGTAACTGTCCTCGAGTTATCATAACTCAACTGTATTTTTATTGAATCTGTATAAAAACTGTGTCTGCTGATGTTTGTTTGTTTTCCTCTGCAAAAGCTAAAACTTCAGCGTATCACCAATTTTTGGCACTAGGCCTTTTTGTCAAAAACATAACCTAGTGGATTGGTGCTTCCATGTGCAAAATAATTACTAGAGCCAAAGCAGCCTGCTGTTATCATCATCTCTGCATCTCCATGGGAAATACTCAAGTTCTACCAGCATGAAATGATCACAAGAAATCCTGTAATCCATTCCTGTGCTTTTTGATCCACATCCCAAAATGTGTCAACCAGCACTGTCAATCAGCCCTGTCAGACAGGTAAAGCACTCAGGAAGATACATATCGGGCAGCTCTCCAAAGCATCTTAGAGCAGCCTCTAAACTTACTGCGTGTGTCGCTGGCGTGTAGCATTAGACACCGCATGACTGGCACACCAGGGCTGGCACATCAGCTGCAGAGCTGTGTTGTTGCATAGATCAAGCACTGGAAGATGTCACATGTGATGTTACCTAGTGCTGCAGCGTGGTTTTATGCATGGTGACAACGCCCTCAGTTTTGCAGTGGAAAAGATGCTATACACACTGAAATGCCTTGAGAAACTACCAGTTATTTTCTCTGGTCTTGGTGACAGAAGGATACATTACTGTTTCTGAAAATGTGAATATTTTCCTAGGAAACTTTTCCATGGCACATTAGAAAAATGTTAAGGACAGGCCAAATGTGTGGCACTGTGTACC